CTCTCTCTCTCTCTCTCTCTCTCTCTCTCTCTCTCTCTCTCTCTCTCGCCTGATGTGATGTGATGTGGCTTGGTTGCCTAGCAGCCATCCCCTTGTTTGAGTAACTGGGGAAGCGGAGAGATATCTGGTCTGTTGAACAACACACACACACACACTTGACGCATGCGCACACACACACATACACACACACACACACACACACACACACACACAGCGGCAGATAATGCACCCGTTGTGTGGTTTTACAGGCTTGACAGTGTCCGTTTGATGTCTGCTGTTACCATGTGAGGTATGAGCCAGCTATAATCAGTGTCTCAGGATGGTGTAAATTGATTTGTGTTATGGGAAGAGTCACTGCCTTTGGTCTCAGCATTTCTTAACTGTTTCCCTCCCTGCAGGGCAACAAGCACAAATCCCTGCCTTCTTTGTCTTGTCCTAAATCTCCACAATCGCCCACACTCCCGGCGCTCCCCCCGGCATGAACCCCCCCATACATCAATACTTTGATTTCCACGCGGGAGTTTATCGATCACTGTTGCCTCTTTTCTGCCGCCCAGAAAAAAGAGAATCTATTTTTACTTTTTCCCTCCTCGCTCGCCGGTTCTCCCTTGTTCCGTCCTCTCCTCATTAGCGCTGTGTGTGACACCTACACAGGGGCTTCGGGAGACGAATGGTCTAATCCCTGTGGGCAAAGACTGAAATATTACATGGTGTGCTCGCACATGCACAAATACACTCACACACAAACACACACACACACACTGACAATGAGAGGCACCATGAACACATTGTGTGGTACATGCTTATATACACGCACACACATATGCTATGGACTTGACAGCTCTGGTAAATGGAGACGGATTAATGGAGGAAGCGGCCTGCTGCAAAGCCTCTCAGAATGACGGGCAAAAGAAGCTCTATTCACTGGACCGAGTGTCACCACACTCACGTAAAAATAAACAGTATACACCTGGGTTCAACGAGCAGATCTTATTGTGAATGCGCGTCTGCGTCATCGTGATGTCAGAGCACCCAGGCGTGCCGCTCTGGTTACGACTGAGCATCACAAAACTGTCTGTGTGTGTGTGCGTGATATGAGCGTAGTGGAGCGACTGCTATCAAGTGTTCAGGTGCACTCGCTGTACATTTACGGGTGCCTTGTAGGGTACACACCAGCCTCGGTTGAACTGAACCCCGGAGCGTTCACCGCTCTTGGTGCGGTTCGTTTGGAGGCAACCTCCGGTTCTGCCGAATGAAGCCAATGTAGAAGTGTCTTAAAACTTGCATTCTCTCCACTGACCAGCTGGGGGAGACTCCTCTGGCTGCAAAAAGAAGTCTGATTGTATAGAAGTCTATGAGAAAATGACTCTACTTCTAACTTGATTTCTTACCTCAGTAAACATTGTAAACATGAGTTTATGTTCTCATTCTCTAGTTTGAAATCTTCAATACAATATGATTAGAATATTATTAGAGACAAATAGACCATAAAGCAGAGTATGCTTTAGGGCGGGCTTACTGTGATTGACAGGTCGCTACCAGAGCCGTATATGGCGTCTCAACGTCACTCCTCAGCAGTCCAAATATGGTAACTTCCATTTAACGGCTGCAAAAAAAACAACATGGCGAGGGCCATATTCCAAGATGGCGACGGCGTCAGACCCGAACTTTGGTGCGGACCAAGCAACCGCTCTCTGGTCCGCCTCGAAGGGGTAGTCTCTGTCAAGTTCATTCTGGAGCGGTTCTTTTCTGGTGTGAACACCATTCGAACCAATGACTGGACGTATACCGTTTATGTCTTGTTTCTCTGGTTTGAAAAAGTTTACATTTCTCGTTTCGGTGACTGGTGAACTAGTAGCCTATTTGCACATTTTCTACCACTGAATTTGATGAATTTACAGTTAATCAGACCTCAAATGAGACAATAACTAGCTAGCTAGGGCAACTTGCGGTCGCTTTGTTTCACTCTCCCTGCTGAAAGGAGAGCGGTCAGCAGCTCCGTAGTCTAGGGGAGTGACATACATATTGTTTTGACCCAGTGGCCACCAGCCTGGAAAATGAAACCAATGTATCATCCCCGCATTGGTTTGATTCAGGAACCGAACCTTTAGGTGTGAACCCGCCGTTAGACAGACACACAACCTCCAAACTCCTCAGCATTGTAACAGAAGTTGCTGCCATATTGGATAGAACAGAGATCAATGATGAACAAATAACTGACAATCAAAAGTAGTGGCCATGTTGGATATATGTGATGTGTGTGTGTGTGTGTGTGTGTGTATAGGGAGGGCTTGGTATTCAGGTCACGGTGGTGTGTGTGCATGGATGCCAATCCGACAGGGCCATATGGAGGGCACAGGCTGGGTGTCGTCGGTGCAGGGCGCCAAGAAGGAAACCATAAACCATCATTGTGATGTCCAAAGAAGGCCAGGGAGTCATGGATGGGTGAGGGGTGTGATGGAGGTTATGAGGATCAGATGTGGTTCCATAATCTCATTTATAAATAAAATGACTGGTACGGGAAACGTACACATAGTTCATCCCCTGAGGGCAAATGTGTTCCAGCAGAGTTCAAAGCACATGTTGACAAAGGAATGCATTCAAAATGCTGCGAGAATGGCTTAAAGGTGAAGAGTAAATAGCGTATATTCTCAGAAAACAAAGCTTTATATGCTGACATGACTTGAGCACTTTCCAAAGATTTTACAGTAAAAACCTTCAATAAATGTTTCTGCTATAATTTCACGTTATAGTTGGTGTTTATAGCCGATGTTTATGGCTACTACAGTTCATCTCCCTGAATCGATACAGGCTGTAATACAATGCATCTTCATAAGATCCTGCCCAGGGACTTCAGATGTAAATTAGCTTGCTGTGCCCTGTCCCTGTCAAATAGTTAAATGAAATAAAACAATGTCTCCTGGTGGGAATGGTTAAAAGTATAGTTTGACTTTTTGGGAAATCATTTTTCACTAAATATGAAGTTCCAGCCAGTTAGCTTAGCTTAGCCTAACAGAAACGGAGAGTCAGCTAGCTTGGCTCTACCCAAAGGGAACAAAATCTGCCTACCAACTCACTCACATAACCCTCCACGAAACCAAAACTTGTTGGTTTAACACATCAGTTTTTCTACAGATAAATACAACAGATTTATAACATTAGTGAGCTTAAGAGGTGCTGTTTTTTTCCTTTGGACAGAGGCTGGCTGTTTCCCTGTTTTCGAGTCTTAATGCTCAGCTAGGAAATTAGGGCAAAAGGTCACATTTTCAAACACACAATGCAGGCATTTGCTTTGCAAGTCACATGCAGCTCTGACAGCCAATTGTTGAATTATTCTCACATTGTTGGCACACCACCTTATTAGCGCGATGCCTAATAACTCCGCGGTAAACGGCAGCTTGGCCCGCAGTACGTTCTCTTCCATCAATCACTCCGGCCTCCCCACCTGATCGGCCTCCAGCGCTCTTGGTCCACTTCCACACACACACCGCAGCGGTGCCAGCACCGCTTAAACAATGGCCCCCTTGTTCGCTAACAGTCGCCCATTGCAGCTGATTAAACTTTTAAAATGCCATTTAACGGAAGCGTAATGTTGCTCCGATGCGTCCGTCAGCAGCCTGAGAGGAGGGGGGGGGGGGTAAAAGGATATCTGGTCACCCTCCCGGTGTGTCACTCTGCCCACTAAATTCCCCAGCTGCCTAGTCATCGCCCCTTAGTGTGGGATGTGGTGACAAGAGTGAATATGACCTGGACTTAAAGGGGACACGAGGGGAGCAGCACCTCTGAACCTGCCACCTCTCTGTCTGACCCTCTCTCTGCTGCCCGGAGTCTCTCAAGGTGCTCAAGATATACGGCGAGGGAAGAATGGGAGACAGCCTGTGATACTGGGCGGCCATTTTAGTTCAGCACAATGTCAGTGGCAGACAATGGCTTCTCTGTTTGCTTATTTGTTTGGCGACCTTTAGCTGGGACTCAGCAACTGATAATGGCATTTGTCCCACACCAGTATTGGATTATGGGTACTTTTGTTGTGCAACATCACATTCTTTAGGAAATTTCAGCGGTCTGCCTTCGTCATCACTCCACTGAGCAGGGTCACATTTTCTCAGCATGTTGCCCCGAGTTAGCTGTTAATTTGACGTTCTCTCGACTCCGGCTCCAGCTGTACCACTGAGTAGCAGGGTCACCTCCTGTTGTAAGCTGCCAGAAACACAGATTTCCTCCAGACCCCACTGATGTGCAAAACACTGCTTCCTGAACACCGACCGGATCTAATTAAGCCGTGCCTAAAAAACTGAAGTTGATATTCGGGGCTGCCAGTGCGACCTGCCCCGACACCAGATGTTCTCGTGACCTTTGAATGATGTAATTTCACTGTGCCAGCATCTTAAATCGCACTTAAACCCCCTTCTCGCCACGGGAAACACTACCACAGATGAAAGGATATTGTGTGTGTGGTAGGCTTTGTGCAGTGCCATCCTGATAATTTCTTCTCTGCAGAGGGATGATCCACTTTCATCTTTCAGCAGAGGTTTTATTTACTACTTTTTATATATCAAAAAGCAAGTAGTAGTTGTGTAGTACTAGCCCATAGATGTGGGTGTACCGTGTGTGCGCACGTGTTTGCAGGTTTCGTGCATCAGTTTGCAAGCACGTTTTAAAAAAATGCAGAAGTATCACAGATACGCATTCATCGCATTGTGCGGCTCCGTGCGTATTCTTCTGAAGCAAATGTGTGTCTATGTGTGTGTGTGTGTGTGTGTGTGGGGGGGGGGGGGTCTTGATTGACAGCGAAAGAGCGGGTGCCTGTGGTCGAGGCACGCTGTGGGAGACGGAGGGTGTTAAGTCGTCAGTATGAGGCATATGTCAGAGATTAGTGCTGGACCGTGGAGATCACTGCGATGAGAATGGAGGACGAGAGAGACAGAGATTACTGGGGGCTTGGTGCCTTGACCACAGGCAGAATGGCTGCTCATCACACACACACACACATACACACACACACACACACACACACACACACACACAAACACATCTCCCTCTTTGCGTCTCCCTCACAAGTAGTAGAAACGTGTGCCCAGCCACTCTAGAGGCTGCATGCAAAGCCCCGTGTTAATAAGATTGTCTTCCTCTCCGGGTGGAAGTGTGCGGCTCCTTTGTCTCCAGAATAGTAACAGGGGGAATAAGAGCCCGGCTCTTGAACTTCCTCGAGCTCTTAAGTGTCTGCGGTAGAGGGGAAACAGAGCAGTGTGGATTAGAGTCGAGCCAAGTAGATGTGCCCCCGATAACGTCCGTCTGCCTGACTGTCGTCCCGAACAAAAGCAGCGCTGAAGTCAATACGCGGAGAGAAGAGCAAATGTTTCATGCAAATGTTCACCCTGCTGAAGTGCCCTTGAGCAAGAGATGAGAACAGCACTCAAACACTAATGCTGAGCGTTGACCCGAGGTGGTTTTGAGACGTTGCTCCGTAAGTCGCTCCGGCTTTCCTAACTCAAACCTCGGAGCACCTGTGCTTGAGCGCCGTGTCTGCAGTCCTGTCCAAAATAATCAGGTGTATTCCAGGTAAACCAAATGTCTCTACAAAGCGTTTCGGGTGTTCCAGTAACATCGCCACAAAGATGACCCTGCTTGTCTCTTCTTCACCGTGTGGAAGAACATTAAGCATTTATTTTGGAGTTGCGTTGTCCAATATTCACTCGCCTTTTAGCACTTTTTTGGTCTCCACCAACTCCCCACTCTCTTTAGCTGTTTAATGCAATGTTCAAAAGAAATGGCAACTTTCAATGTCTGCTGTTTGGTGCTGGGCAGTCATCATACTCTGGGTTTAATCAGATTTCTTTGCATCAAAAACAAGCTGCATGCTGCGGCTTGAAACAAAGGCCGATGAGAGCGGTTGTGAGCGGTAAAACCAAGACAATGAGCTGAAGGAAACTGCAGACTGTAGGTTCATCACACCTTTCACATTACAGTCATTTGATCCGCTGTTAATATCACAAATGTGATAGTCAATCAATGAAATAACTAGATCACAATTTGTTAGTGGCACCCTGACGACTCCTTGCTATATTATCTGTTGCAGAAATTGGGCTCTACTTATCATTGTACACGTTTTCATCCTTGGATCTGATAACAGAATCTGGGTGGGCAGAACGGATGAATATGAGTCCACTCCCTCAGCAGCTGTCTAATTGGCTGTGGCGCAAAATTATGCTGCTCTTAGGCATGAGTCTATGAATATGTGGCAGTGCTGACATAGTGCATGCATGCTCAGCAAAAAACCCTCTCCGAGTCAATAAATGACAAACATTGCCCAGGATCACACCAGCAACAAATCTGCAATCTGTTTTAGTTGTTTTTGCACCCTGTCGCGCTGTAATCTACACTGCCGTTATGTTCAAGGCGGATGGTGATTCCTATCGCCGCTGCTCTCTTGTGTCCCCGACATTACTGGCCGTGTTTGTTTGTTTCGTCAAAAGAAAAAGAAAGAGTAGGTGGTGATAAGAATAGCTGTTTTATTGTGCCTTGGCCCCTAATGCTGAATGTGTTATCTGAGGGTGCAGCATGCCACACTAAGCTATGTGCATGTGACGCATGGCTGAGCAGCATTCCTCCTCCTGAGTGCATCGCAGGGCAGAGATAGTAGGAAGGCAAAGCAGCCCGACTGCCGACAGAGATGGGAGAGAGGAGAGATGAAGGGAGAGAGCAGTACCGGGAACATGTAGTTAAGTGGAATGAAGTACCCTTTGTTGCAGATAAGATCATTCTGCTTCCCTGGCCGGCGTCACTAAAGCCATTTGAGCACAACGAATGTGGCTTATTATGTTTTTGGCAAACCGCAAAATCCCTCGCTGACATACAGATAAACAGTGGTCCAAGTAATAAGAGACTGGGATATTGCTTTCTTTTGTACATTTTACTTTTTAAAAATAAGGCAGGGTCACCGTGTGTGATCTGTAATTCGGGGCTGACAGGATGGTGGTGGGATCAAGGCATCGTGGGATTTGAGGTCCACACTAGAGAATGTCGCGGAAGAAGAAGCTAAATGACGGGTCTATGGCCTCCGCGTTCAGACGGTCGCCCAACTTCCAGCAAGGTTCGTAGGCCCCTGGGCCTGGGGTCTTCTGTGGAATAAACATAAAATCCAATGCACACACGCACAACATACAAATGCTGTTTTTCATTATAGAATCACTTTGAAATACAAAAAACGGCAGACCATTAGCCAAAAGACAAACGTGGTATTTTCTTCACTTAATGTAATCCAATATCAAGTAGGCTATTCACAGAATATGATCTGAAGTGCTGTACTTATCTGTGTTAGGTATGTTTTCTTTGATGCATTCTGTTATGTAATTCATTGTGTAATATTCCGTTTTACTTACAGGATCTAATAAAATCATAACTTACCTCTTTAAACTTCCATCAAAACCCCGATAACGTCATTACTGAATGCAATCAAAACATTAGTGTATTTGCATTTGTACTCGCTCATCAAGAATTTTACTGCCATATTGCAGCTGAGAGGTATAAAACTGTTAAGAAAGTATAAATTCATCGTCTTACGCTAGTGACAGACAGACACTAACTAGCCTCGCTACTTGTCATGTAGCGTTGGACATGTTCGACCTGTGTGCATCTACAGGAGTACCGGACTCACGGAGTGCACACAGTGGAGCCGCGGCAAGGTGGACTTGAAGCAGGAAGTGATGCCTTTTCCTGGTCTGGTCTGTGGATTATATTGGCATGGAGCAGGTCCCTCCTTCTAAAGGGGTCAGAGATGGGAGTTATTATTGATTGACAGATTGATAGATTTTGTGATCTAGCCTCAATATGCTGTATATCCAGGCTAGCATGTAAACATTAGCATGTGAGCAGGGTGTGTTTTGTAGTTGTTGTTTTTTTCTTCAATTATCTTTTTTTAACATAATTATCTTTATTGAAAATGTCAATTAGCAGTAGCATGTAGCAAGTACTTTGGTTATTGAACAGAGCTTTGGTAACCTAACAAGTTAAAATCCAACTTGATAAAACATAACCTAAGCATGCTATAGGCCTGCCTCAACCTCAATGTGTTGCAGACCAAGCTTAGCATGCACTACCTTCTTGTATTTTAGCCGTTGAGCATAAGTAGCTAGCTTGTTTCTTTTTCAGTAGATGTTAGCAAGTAAAAATAAGTGTCCAATATTGTAGTCCACATAACATTAGCTGAAGGTGATATACCTCACCCTCAATATCTTGCAGGCATGTAGACTGAGAAAGCAGAAACCATTTTTATTGTCATATACACACAAAATTTGCCTTCTGCATTTGACCCATCCCTGTATATAGGGAGCAGTGGGCTGCCAATGATAGGCGCCGGGGGTTCAGTGTCTTGCTCAGGGACACTACGAAACGTAACACGTCACAGTCGAGGATTGAACCGTTGACCCTGCGGTTGCCAGACAACCCACCCTCTTAACCCAGTGAGCCACGGCCGTCCCACTTTAGCACGTGATCACAAATGTGCTTTCCTCCCTTTGGTCAGGTAAGAAACTTGTATAGGAAATGTTTTCTTTCTATTTTGGCTATTTGAACATGAGTAAATTGTTTTCTCCCCTCCATTTGTTTTAAGGGCTGGTCTCTGTCGAACGTCTCCCTCGCTCTCTCTCTCCTTGCCTTTCACTTCTCCTTTCCTCTTACCCACTAACACACATACTGGTCATCACCAGCGGCGTGCCACGCAGAAATAGCATCACCCCTCCTTCTACCCTCCTCCACAGACATAAAACTGTCTCCCTGTCCCTGAACACAGCACCAGCCTTTTTTATTTTCAGCTGCTCTCTGATTCTGACAGAGGGAGGCAGGAAGGTGTCTTTTCCGTCTCCTCGGAGGGATGGCTGCTACCGTTACATGCCATTTGATCCCAGTCGCCAGTTCCTTCGATCCTCGGCAAACTGGCCTGCTGGGCCCCGGCGCGCTTGCCTGATGCTCCCAGAGGTGCTAATGCAGGTGTATTTCACGGGATAGTAAAACTCTCTTACACAAACGAGTGTGAGTGTGTGTGTGTGTGTGTGTGTGTGTGTGTGTGTGTGTGTGTGTGTGAGTTGGAGCCAAAGCACCTGGCCTACTTTCCCAATGTGGCGCGCAGCACATTAGAAATGTTCTCCTGTGCGGCGGCGGAGCGGAGGTAACTGGCACATGCTGTGAATGTCTGTGAAACTTTAAAACTTTGACCTGTTTTTAACTGGTGCAGCCACGACATTGCATTACAGTCCCCCTTAAATCAACTGCATTTTTCTTTTCTTTCAATAACATGAGGGAATCGATTCAATAATTGTTGACATGTTTCACTCAAAAATACAAACGTTAACCTCATGGTAGTGGTGTCGAGGAAAAATCAGGGGATCACCAAAGTCCTTAGGATTCATCCTCTAGGGACCATGAATGTCTGTTTCAAGGTTTCGTGGCAATCCATCCAATAGTTGTTGAGATATTTAAGTCTGGACCAAAGCAATGGACCGACCAACAGTTTCTATAGTGTTGCAAATAGAAACGACCAAACAGCAAGTGTTCAGATAGGCAAGTTTTCACGCAGTATAGTTAAAGGTTGAATCCCTTCTGTGCTACAGCAACAGATAGGAGGGCATTTATTCATATGAAAATGTCTGGGATTATGACTTTTATTCAAACAGGCTTGAATCTCAAGAGAGGATTTGTTCCTTCCGAGCAGCACGTGCAGTCGATATTGCAAAAAAGCAAACCGTGTAAATCTAAGCCACACAAGGGCCCCGGGATGGAGAAATTAAGTCACATCAGAAAAACAGAATACATACACCTTTTTTGTTGTGTTCTCCAAACATCTTCTGCTCACTGGAATTATTAATTCTTATTTTTTTGGGATGTGTGGGAATCATTTTATTGCGGGCTAAGAGGCGAGGCCCAAATCTGAAATTCTTGTTTCCTGTCTCTGGGTGGACCACGGGTTCCCGGTGCAAACCATTGGTTCCATTTCCACTACCATTTTGATCGGCTAACGTCTGCCCGCCCACGCCAAGTCAGCTGTCCGAGTGATCTGGTCTTTCGGTTGACTTCGCTGCGGGATTTGTGGTAGGTGCTTAACCTTTGACAATAAACTTGTCTTAGAGTCGCTGTGACACCACTAACAGCAGAAAAACTGCTCCCAACTCCGCAGTAATAACACCCCCGGGATTTCTTAGCGCCTTTCCTTCTCTGTCAACACTCAGCAGCTGCCAGCACGGCTCAAATATCCATCAGCTACCAGCACGGACACACGGCCGAGGCTGCAACGCTGCAATATGAACCAAAGCTGACTGGTCAGCAGTGCCATAACAGGCCTCCGAATGGGGCAAATGATACAATCGGACAGTCTGCGGGATCGGTTTTCTTTGACCCTTGTGGTTGTCATAACTAGCTCATGTTCAGCACCACGTACACATTAGGGTCACAGCTTGTAACTAAAACCTATTGAAAGTGGACTGTAATGAAGCCTTTTTGTGGGCCACGGAAAGACTGAGCAGGGCTAATAACTAGTCTCTGTGACGAGATACTTACAGGAGGAAAGGTGATCCGCTGCACGGTCGACCGAAACATCACATGCCTGCCAGAAGAGGAGAGAAGTGAGAGAGGGAGGGGGGGCAATCAAAAAAAAAAGAGAGGAGAACAGTGAGAGAAGAGAAGAATAAGGCCATGCGTGATCAGAGGCAGAGAAAATGAGAGAGCATGTGGTGATTGCTCCTCCATCTTTGTTCCACGAGGAGATGAGAGAGGGAAGGAGAAGTAGTTACGAGGGGGGGGAAGGATTCAGCGATCAAGTGATAATTCATGGGTTGTCTGCTCCACTGTGATCTGAGAGTTAAAGAGAGGCTGTTTGTCGAGTGCTTACTTGCAGGGAATCTTCTCCTCCGGTTTCGCTGTCACGTCGTAGTCGCACGGTGAAGTGTTTATATGCTGGCACAAGGAATAAAGATAAAGAGATGTTTAAATAGCTATGACAGCATGAGTTGTTTTTTCAGTTTTTTTTCTCGGTGGCTGTGTTACACCGTCAACAGCTGGCTTGTGTTTCCAACACATCTTCTGTTTTCAGTTAGTCCGCTGCACGTGCATTTTGAAGAGCATCTACTCTGCTGTGATGATGTGTCGAAGTAAAAACACCCTAAGCTATGAATCAAAGTGAATCGAGGTGGTGTGGAGGGCTATGAGTTAACAACCTATGTGGATAGTAACTTGGTTAGTACAATGCAGACTGCACCCCTTTTTTGGGAAGGCACCAACTACAAGTAGCAACAACATACGAATGGAGCAAATGTTTGAATTCAGGCTTAAAATGATGAGCTTATTACACTAACTTTTATGACATTATAGGATTTCTCCATCCTGGATGTTAGGTTTAAGGAATACTTCAATAATAGAAATAGAACAGGAGTAGATGTGGAAGTGTTTTCCGTTGTCATTTTACTGGTAGAAAAGAAAATGGTGATGGTTGTTAGTTGCAATGACGAAAACACGAGTAAGTGTTGCAGCTCGCCGGAAAGAGAGCAGAAGCTCCGGAGAAGCTAGGTAGCTTATCCTTCTCGAGAGCGGCAGGGAGTGAGGCGGAGGGACCGCTAGACCCAGAGCTGCCGCTGGCCACCAGCCCGCTGTTCAGCTCATTTGCTATAACAGTGTAGCATTAAAGCATGGTGGTGGTTCGCAAGCAAGCTAACTAGCCAGCAGTCCGGTAGTTAGCTTGCTAATTTCACCATGCACCATGAGGCGGAGGGACCATTACACCAGGCAGCGCTGGGTCTGCTCCTCTCCCCAACGACCATGGAGAAAGACAAGCTACCTAGCTAACTGGCCAGCCATCAGCCTCCAGTGAGAAAGTTGTTAAATTTTACTCATTTACTGTGGCCCCCTGTGCTTCATAACGTAATACTCCACGGCTCGTTTTAGTTGTTACTGCAAAACCTCAACCCAGGGAGTCCGCGACTTTGTGTAAGTCGGTTTAATTTATATGGAAGAAAGCCCACTACAACGATCGCAATGGCAACGGTACACATAAAAATAACAAAAATGGCCGCCGCTCTGACCATCCTGCTTTATTGATTTGAAGGGGAATATCTGCTAGCTCAGAATAAAGACAAGAGCAGTTGGAAACCTGAAAAATATTTCAAAATCTGCATCTTCTTCTTCCCTTCTTGCTAGCTATTAGTGTCCTACTTCATCTGTGCTGGTTTAGTGCTACATTACCAACCAAACACCTCGCAATCACTGGGATAGCATGAAACATTGGGCATGTACAGTATCACGTCCATGTACGTCCTCATGCATGTGCAAGAGGTACTAACAAAACTGGGACCCACTTGTAAAATCTGCTATTAGTATTCAAAACTTCACAGGGTACCTTTAACGTAGACATGAGAGCGCTAGCAAACTTCCTATTTAACTCTCGGAAAGAAAGAAATGAGGTGTAATTCACAAAATGGCAAACTATTTCTTTTACATGTGGTCAATCGCATTTGCCAACAGGATCAGTGAAGGTTGTGTCTGAGCCCCACCTTGTCCCTGATGCCCAGGGTGACGATATTGGGCCTTGGACAGTTTTTGAAAGAGTAAGACGCCGGGTGCTTCAGGACCTCCTGGATGGAGTCGGTGTAGTCGTATGCCCCGGGGAAAAGCAAATCCCCCTTATGTACGCCCAGAATGGGGGCTTTTCTGCCCACATCTTTGAAGCCATAGGTCTTCCTCACCGGGTTCAGTTCAGCTTCTTCGATGAAGTCGCGGATGTGATAGACACCTGGGATGGGTGTGTCCTGGTCGAAGGTGAGAGGAGAGAAGTTTAGGGAATGTGTTAACACATGTCCTGGCGCTCGGATAGACACACTGTATTGCCAAATTCTGCTCTAGCAATTGTAACACTTAGCTTGACATTGCCAGACCATATCGCAAATGCGAATTACTTTGAAACCTCTGAGTTCACGTTCGATCAGGCTGTAAACATGTTTAATTCTGCTGTAAAGTTGGGCATTTTAACAAATGGCCATGTGAGGTACTGCAGTTGTTGGCACTTCCTAGTTGGCTCCATTTATCAGCACCGGATGTTGTAGCTTGATGACAGCAAATCAAACATGAGCTTGCAGATTTGTCTTTTTCCCAGTCAATGGAAAGCTAACATAGGTTGTTACACTCTTTTAATTGCATTACAATATTTTCCATCATTATTTTAGAATGCAACTGAATTCTGAGTACCGACCAGCAATAATTCGGTGATGGCAGATAAGGGTACGATCTTTCTATATTTCTCTTTCTGTAAGCTGGGCTAATATTTATTGTATCCATGTACTGTACTGCAAATGTACAGCAAACAAGCAATCATTTCAGTTAATTCACAAAGAATAATTTTCAAGCCACGTGGCCTATTGTTAGCCAGCTGAGTAGCCTGAGAGCTGGGATCTCATTAAGATAAACTGATATTTAATTAGGTCTAGTATGCATTATTACCACGAATGCACTGCGAGGCACTTAGGGACTGGATTCACTGTAGTGTAAGTGTTTGAATTTATTTCTGGCAGACAGCGCACTTTGGACACAGACAATGGGATAGTGCTGTGCAATAAAAGACATTAACTGAAAGTCTACTACACACACACACACACATGTGAGCTACTGCCAGTTGTTCAGGCGTACACAGACACCAACGTAGCAGCGTGACACGACACCTATTTTCAGTGTTCCCAGCCACCAGCTCCACCGGCTATACAGGTCCAACTTGTCATCACCCTGCAGATAATAACAGGATACAAGCCAAAAAAACAGAAGCTTGTTTCTGCTACGATGACATCGCCATGACAACAATATGTTGATGCATCTCCACGTGTTCCATCCGGTGCTTTACCAGTTCAGCTTGTCCTCATTAGGCACACAGAGCCGTGAGGGCTTTAAAGAGCCTTACCTTATCTCTTCTATCGCCACCCCTGGCCATGTACCCGACTTTAGGGACGACTTGGTTTTTCCTGGTGGCCCCATCCTGCACCGTACTCATTGTCGCTCGCAATGCGCTCCACTGGAAATCCAGTGACACCTGACCACCATTAAAACTGCAACTGTTACTATAGCAGCGACTCCGCTATCGATCAATTTTTCAACAAGCTGGCCTGGTGGAGGGCTAAATTTAGACTCGCCGACCAGTTTGACTGGTAGTAAGACACAATGGCAAGCCAGCACCAGGCTGCACACGGCACATGCTACATAGTTACTTAGTTCTCATTCTCTTCGTGGAGGGATACTGTGATATGATTAAAGCATGATTCCACCATGCTTTAATGCTACACTGGTTACAGAAAATGAGCCGAATAAAAGTCGTCTTTCTTCCGGCGATAGCAAGGTTTGATTGTTAGAATATAAAGATCAAACGTTGTCATTACACTGCCAATTGGAATACATGTTAGTTATATCAAATATCTGGAAGGGGCCAGGCTGTTTATCGGCACTGGTGTCCGAAACTAGGGACACCTGGGGTCCAATAAAATGAGGAAAATTCTAATTATGCAACTTTTTACATCCGCTTCTTCCGGTTAAGAATGCACATTGCTATCGCCGGAAGAGAGACTCATGTTCTGTAACCAGTGTAGCATTAAAGCATGGTGGAATCAGCAAGCAAGCCAACTAACCAGCCGAAGAGTGGGTTCTTGAAATGAGGCAATTAAGGAACTCTGGAGGTTTTTAAGTGTGATACTTACCCCGAGAAACTCTTTCAAACTAACCCTCTACTTTGTGTGTGAAGTTTGAAGTATCACACCTCTTGTGGCATACAGAGGCTGGAGTGTGATGCACAAGCCCTCACACACACACACACACACACACACACACACACACACACACAGTGTCTTTCGGTACAGCAGAACTAAAGATCACCTGAAGAAAAAAAATCTCGCTCTGGGAGCAAAAGCGCAACATTCCACCTGGTTGCTAGGCTACATGGACCACATGGTTGGAATGAGCCAAGAATTCATGTTTACAAGGCTTGTCAAGGAAGTCACATGTGGCCAGAAAGTACACGAGGAAACAGTCAAAAAACGCAGGTAGCAAAAGGAGCCGCTGTCGTACCGTTACATCTATTTGGACAATGCATGAATGCAGAGGACAGCAAAGACTAGTGTTACATGTGCTGTGTAACCAACAGCTTTTTACAAGACTGATGACACTTCAGCTGGGATTTCTGTTTCTAATTATTGTGATAATTGGTTTTGACAAGAGAATCGCTTGAGTCATCGATTCGCACCTCAAAATGCAGAGTTCGTCTCTTTGCAACCGAAGCCCTTCCTGTGCAGTCTGTGAAAGGGATATTTGTTTAACTACACACAAGTTGGAAGAAGAATATAATAAAAGGCTACTTAAGTAAATTACCGCTCTGCATCATGGCCCGTTTGGGTGTACAAGCTGTTAAGTGCATTTTGTAATGCCTTAAATGTGCATCCACAGGGACCGCTGAATATGCATGACTGAGCAAGCCACAAACAAACGCAGCACTTACTACTCCCAACGGACAGTCAGACCCATCACACATCTTTAGAGGACTAAATGAAACCATGTTTGGTTTCTTTCTAGGTTAACATTACAAAAGTGATAGTCCAACCGCTGCTTAGGATCACAAACTAAAAAGCAGCTAGCATAGAATTCACACAGGAGGCAGCGCTGAGGTCCACAATAGAGCTTTATTTTGTCATTCATCAAAATAACAAACTTAGTATCTCTGCAAGCTACTGTAACAAACTCAATAATCAGAAATTAACAAAAAAATAATTTGAATCAAAACGGTACACCTATTTACACCATGGTTTCTGATGTACGCTCAATCACCTGCACCTCGTGATTGGGGGAAATGCCAAGTAAGACATGAGGCAGACAGCTTCTACATGGTGCTGCGCTAACAGTAGCACACAACACATGGCCCATGCAGTCAGTAAGGGACATGGACAGTACAAGGCTAATCCGATGTAGAGTACCATTGTGTGCACTTCAAATCAGAAGCCTTTGATCCCACTCAGTGCTTTTATTTTAATGACAATACAGGTTTGATATGAGCTTATCTGAACATTAAGAGGCATTGGCTGATGCTCCTCAGTGCTTTTGGAAATTAACAGGGGACAATTTAAATTGGTAAACATTTCATATGTATTCTAAGCAACAAGAAAAATATCCCAAAAAAAAAAAAAAGAAAAAAAAAAAAAAAAAAAAGGAGCATCTTGTCCTCAATACAAAATTGGGAATTATTACAGGGTATACAAACTCAAGGATCCATAACTGAGAAAACAAGACAATTTTCAAAACCGTGTAGATTGTAATTTTTATTGGAAAACAAAAATATACAACTTGGAATGGATTATTTGAGGCATGACCAGAGATCACCAAAAAAAAAAAAAAAAAAAAAAAAAAAAAAAAAAAAAAAAAA